TCTGAAATTGCTGTAGACACTAGTAAAAAAACTGAAATAGACACGGTCTAGTAACTAGGACCTCACAAAACAGTCATAATTATTCATAAAACATGTAAACACAACAAAAACAGTTATGAAAACGTTCAGAGTATATATTACTTGAAGATTATTGCTTAACACAAAATAAACAAAAAAATTAATCTGATTATAATATTAGCTAGATTATTAGCAAAATAAAGTACAAAAAAATTATAACGTTTAATTAAGCCACATAAAATAAATATTTTGCAACTAAAATCTCACTTAACATTAAACAAGATTCAATTAATTAAAAAGATAATCAAATAGTTTATAAAATTTGTTCATCGATTTAAAATAAGAACTGTAATGTTGTGCGGGTCAGCGGGTTCATGATCTAGTGTATATTAAGAAAGTAACAAACTCTCTAATAACCAACTAACCGGCTGAAAAGCTTTCGCTAATAATACATATGTCAATATACTTGTTCCGGACTGTCAAATGCAAAATAATTATGAGGTGTAAAAGTAAGAAAACCCACCATCGTTTTGTGAAAATGACATTCAAAAGTCATCAGACCAACTGAATAAATTGGGTACATGAGAAAGCTTAGAGTAAGACAACATTTCTTGGGTCTATGGGTGATATCTTCATTATCAAAATCCCTTTGTTCACTCGTCTTGTTTGCTCGTTAGTTCTGGCGTGCGTGTCTTGTAAGTTGTCACTTACTTTGGTGGCTATAAAATATCAATAGGTGCTAAGATACAGACTCTCAACTTTTTCTTCTTTTTCATGTGGAACAAGTAAATCATCAATTTCTTAATACTACCATCGGGTGGACAAGAAATTAAATAAAAAATAGTAACATTAAAAAAACGAATCTAAAAATAGAAAGAATGCTACCAAGTAGAGATGTCTCTATACTTGCCACTCATCCAATCCTTTTCTATATTTGCCACTCGTCCAATCCTTTATCGAATAATCTTCTACTGTTAGCCAAGATTCTCGCTTCTCTATCATTAACGTATATATTTTATTTCATACGCTCTCTTTCTCTTCTTTTTCAATACTGTGAATCATATTATTCTTGATAAACCTCCAGCTCATCATCTCTTATTGTGGACCTTACTGAAAATAAAAATTAAACATAAATTCAAACGCAGATATTCTGATTATATTTGTTGTTGTTATTGTAGGTTATTTTAATCTTGTTTCAATGATTATAGAAGGGAATAAATAATTATTGACTGTTACAAAACGTAACTTTTCTGATCATACGAATCCAATGGCTCTTGGTCACTAGTTTATAGTACAAGCACGAATTTCAGCTTTTAGTGAGAAAAGAGATAAAAATCAACTGAATCCTAGATTTGACCGGTTTTTTATATCTTTAGCTTATGTTTACCATCATCAACGTAGCTTTTATATCCATTTTATCATCAAAATGTTAAGTCGATACATAACAGTTAAAATGTGTTAAAAAATATACATAACAGTTACAATGCTATGTTAATTTTTATACTCCTAATTAAAAATTAATTGGTAAATATAAGCGTAATTATATTTTATGTATGATTCTTAATCCGAACACATTGTCTGTGATGGTTTTTTTGTTCATCTTAATCTTAATATTTTTTGAAGGTTCATTAGCTTTGAACTCAAAACTCATTTCTATATATTAAATATATTTGCTGTTCTAGATTTCATTATACTTTCATGCATGTTAACATTTGAAAGTACATAATTTTACTTTACAATAATCTTGGAATTAAAATTACTTAATGTCCAATCGTTGAAATTTAGACTTTTATTTTTTGGTGAAAGATAGTAAGAAAATTGTGGTTTTATCTATTTGTCAAGAATCCAAACATTGTAAATAGTTTTTTTTCACCACAAATTGAATTCATTGGTAGAAGTTATAACCGCAATTTTTTTATCACTATACCAATTCGATGTTGGTTCGAAATGTAGACTTGTGACTTCGACGAACCTTTTTTTTGTATGTAAGTTTTCATTTTACACTAACTATGTTTTGTTGACGGTAAGTTTACAATTTATTCAACAACAAAAAGTCTCATGTGATTAGAAGTCCAACAACATCAATTTCTAATGCTTTCATGAATATTATATGATAATTTTGTCTTAATATATTACCATTTCTAGTTTTTAGAAAATTATGATAACAATTAGATCAAACAAGGTTTCTATTCAATATCACAAAAATAGCATATCCAATGGGAAATCAGAACGAATGACGTGTCATCTCAGTTGAAAATATGACGATGGATGCATGAGGGAAACCTCGTGGGACGGTATACAAAGCTCACACATAAGCATAGTGGCCACCAAATTGTATTACCCTTTATGGCTTTTTATTTTTATATTTCTTTATAATTTTTAATGATTGCTATTACCAAAAGATTTAAAGGGGAACATGTAAATATAAAGCTATTTTTATATTTTCCGGTAACTGTCAATAAAATATTTATATACTTTATATATGAGCATCATAGTACGGAGTGTATAATACTATGACTTTTTTATAAATGATAATACTATGATTTTTAGTGTTTGTGATCTGCTTCGTAATTTACAAATAACTGATTTTTTTATTTTTTTTCTTAAAGAACAAAGATATCCAGTTTGCTGGATATCTGAAAATTTTACAGTATTTATGAATATTTATTAATATTTTATCTATTTTGTTCAATACAAATAAATCTAAGATTAATACTCAATTTATTTTCAAAAAATATCTTCTACGTACATAATATAAAAGTAAAAATTAGCGAAACTATATGTGCTATAAACTTTTAAAATTTTGTATCCATTTTCTTAATTGAATATTTGTATAAGTAATTTAATTAAAATATATTAAGATAATAATTATATAAAATTATACATTTAAAACTTCCTATTTAGTTATAAATATACTCTTATTTGTATACATTTTGGAGTGGACTAGATATCTGATTTTAATTTTTTTAATATTATGTGTTTTTCTTTGTTATTAACGGATATTAAATTTCTAATATTTTCTCTGTTCGGAAATTTATAAATATCTGAATTTTTCCTCAAATCAAAGTAAATAATGAATCGAATTAAATTTTAACAGATAAAACATTCCCAGCCCCTGGTACTTCTAACCACAAAGTGGAATTCTTGTAGGGTTGGGGAGGGGGATTAACGGGCCAAACTTGTTTGTGTGACACAGGGAAAATGGCCTATTCCTACCCGAACAATTTTAATCGTGCCAAATACAACCCGAACAAACATCCAGTGCCAAATACGACCTGAACTACGTTATAATGCAAAAATACTATCTGAACTTTTTAAAACGTGCCTAAACCTACATTGACCGTAACATAAGTTAGTCAACCGTTAAAATGATAAATCGACGTCGGGAATAGGGCTTATTCCTACCCAAACAATTTCAATCGTGCCAATTACAACCCGAACAAACATCCAGTGCCAAATACGACCTGAACTACGTTATAATGCAAAAATACTACCTGAACTTTTTAAAACGTGCCTAAACCTACATTGATCGTAATATAAGTTAGTCAACCGTTAAAATGATAAAACGACGTCGTTTTGATTCTATTATTAAAAAATAAACATTCCGGGAATCAAACCCGGGCTTTGTCACTATTTAAAACATACACATCAACCACTAGACTAAAGCAATTGTTTTTAAAAAATTATTAGAAATTTGCAATTATATATGCTACTATACTTTTTAATCTTCTCTAATTAAAACTTTTGTTATTACTATTTTTGATTCTTATAAATATATTAACATATTTTGTAATTATTATATCTTCAATAAAATTATATTATACTAAAATATAAATAAGAAAATATTTATAATCATACAAAATTAAATATATTTCATGTTTTCAACCATTTACAAAATGTCCATATATAAATTATTTTAAAAATAAAACTTAATGGTCATTTATTTTATTTTGGAAAGTATATTCAGCTTATATTAATTTTAAGAAACAAAAGAAATTAACTTTCAAGTTTTAAAATTTTAAAATAATTTATATATGGACATTTTGTAAATAGTTTCAAACATGAATATATTTAATTTTGTATATTTATAAATATTTTATTATTTATATTTTAGTATTTATAAGTTTATTATATATGTTAATATATTAATAAGAATCAAAAATAATAATAAGCAAAGTTTTAATTAGAGAAGATGAAAAAGTAAAAAAATTGCTTTAGTCTAGTGGTTGATATGTCTGTTTTAAATAGTGGCAAGACCCGAGTTCGAATCCCGGAATGTTCATATTTTTAAAAAAGTAATGAAATCGAAACGACATCGTTTTATCATTTAACGGTTGACTAACTTCTGTTACGGTCAATGTAGGTTTAGGCACATTTTAAAAAGTTCAGGTAGTATTTTTGAATTACAATGTAGTTCAGGTCGTATTTGGCACTGGATGTTTGTTCGGGTTGTATTTGGCACGATTGAAATTGTTTGGGTAGGAATAGACCCGACGTCGGTTTATCATTTTAACGATTGACTAACTTCTGTTACGGTCAATGTAGGCTTAGGTACGTTTTAAAAAGTTCAGGTAGTATTTTTGCATTATAACGTAGTTCAGGTCGTATTTGGCACTGGATGTTTGTTCGGGTTGTATTTGGCACGATTGAAATTGTTCGGGTAGGAATAGACCATTTTCCCGTGTGACACATATAGTGTTCCAACCACAAAGAACACCAAAGAGGTTTTTCGCCCAGAACTAGTCTTTCATCGTGGGCTGAAAAGCAACAAAGCAGGCCAGGCCCATACGTAAATGGGCTATCTCTCTAAATGGCGCCAAACACAGTGAAAATTGCAAAAACAATGTGTCAATTGGAGGCAAATCCACCCGTCAAATCCATGGCGGGAAAATCAACGAAAAAACCTCCAAAATTTTTATTTATTCATTTTCCCTCTTCCAAAAGCCTCCATTTAATCATCTGATATCGAGTTAGGGTTTCTTCTGCAATCGAAAAGTAATCCATCTCCTTCACCTCGTATCGATCTAGGGTTCCTTCTGCAATCGACGATAATGGATGTTGAGAATCGGAAGACGACGATCGGTGCCAAGAAGCGGAAGAGAGGAGTCGAGAGTCTAACCCCAGAGGAGAAAGATGCTCAGATCTCATCGTTGAATCAGGAGATGCAAAGTCTCTTCGACTATTTCAGAGAGACGATTTGTCAGAGTCAGACGCCAGATCTGTTTTCAGGTTCGATCGATTCTTCTTCCTCATCCTCTGTGAATTCGTTGGTGGCTTTGTTGATGGAAGAGACGAGATTACCCTTGTCGAAGCTCGTCGACGAGATTTTCTCGAAATTGAGAGAGAAGATTGAGAGTGTGACGATGGCTTCCGTGAAGACAGCTGTCGTCTCTGTGGGGCAGAGAGTTAGTTACGGTGTGACTAGTGCGGATGCTGATGTATTGGAAGATGATTCTGAATCTTGTCTCTGGTGCTGGGAGGTATTGTTTGTTTGTTTCTTTCTTTCTTCAATTGCTAGTTTTAGGGCTTTTGTTAATGGTAATGAATTTGATTTTAATAGACGAGAGACTTGAAGATGATGCCTAAATCTGTTCGTGGAGTGTTAAAAGTGAGAAGGACTTGTCGGAAGAAGATCCATGAGAGGATTACAGCTGTTTCTGGTAAAATGATTTTATATTGATGATTTGATTAATCTTTAATATTTATGTGCAACTCTTATGGTTGTGTTGTTGTATTGTACAGCGATGTTAGCTGTGTTACAAAGAGGTGAAACTGAAAAGTCGTTTGGGTCTGATTTAAACAAAGCTGCAGAGAAGCTTGGGAAAGTACTGAGTGAGGTGGATATTAGATCTTTTATGGATAACATGTTGCAGAAGAATAGTACAGAGATGTAAGCAAGCATCTTTTTAGTTATTTACTTGGTTTATGTTTTTTTTGTTATTTTTACTTAGTTGTTGTATTGGTTGTTAAAGGGCTGAGAAAGATGCGAAGCGGGAAGGGAAACTTCTTATTAAGCAATTGGAGAAAAGTAAATGTGAAGCTGAGAAGGAAAAGAAGAGAAAGGAACGTCAACTTCATAAAGAAAAGTTGCAACATGTAAGGCGTATCATCACATTTTGGCACTTCTATGTTGCTGTCTATTCTCTGGATTTGCTATTTGATTTTGAGTATGACTTCTCTCTCTGTTGTTTTCACTTTCAGGAAAAGGAGCAGAAGTTGCTACAGATTAAGAAACAGCAAGATGAGTCAGAGAAAGAGAAGGAAGAGGCTGAGTCAAGAAAACGGATTAAGAAACAGCAAGATGAGTCAGAAAAGGAGCAGAAGCGGAGAGAGAAGGAACAAGCTGAGTTAAAGAAGCAGCTTCAAGTACAGAAACAGGCTTCAATCATGGAGAGGTTTCTTAAAAAAAGCAAAGACACTTCATCCTCCCAACCCAAAGTTCCCTCCGGTGAAGTAACTGCCCAGGTCTCGTCATGTGCAAAACCTGAGGATGAAAGTAGAACAGTTATTCAGGCCATTGACAATGCCTTTGCAACAACTTGCGAAGCTACAGTTGATGATATTCGCAGGTATGGCAGTTGTTTTCATTGGTGGTTGGTTGGTCTGTATGGGTACTGTGATCTGAGTTGTGTTTCTTTTTAGGGCACATTTTGCTTCCTGGCGTCAGCTGAGTCATCCGAGAAAACATTGGGGGATGCGTAGGAAGCCAAAGAGTGAACTGTTTCCAAAACTAAAACTATCTACAAATAATGGAGACGGTGAACTTAACATGGAGAAGCAAGGAGATGAATGTGAAGAGAAACATTTAAGTGATGTATCTTGCATTAGGCAGAGTGAGAAATCTTCGTCATCTGGTCCTAAGAAGTCTAGGAGAGCAATGAAGTTGTTACAATTTGATAAAAGCTTCAGACCAGGCTTTTATGGTATTTGGCCAACCCAAAGGTTAGTACTTATTTTGAATTGAAGAAAACTTTAGGCAGTAAGCTAAGAATATAGATCATTTGTTACATGTTAATTTCAGTCAGCTATAACATGTTAAAACTTGTCTAACTTCACGCTTTTAGCTTCTCCATAAATTTGTTTGTTACTGGTTTGCATATTAGCTTTGTTATGAGGCTTGGCAGCTGTCTGTGTGGTTACCCCTTCTCTTGGTAAAGAATGTTCCGAAGACAAAATAGTTATTGTAGTGGCTGATGATCCTTAAGTCAACTTATCTTGGTCTATTTTGGATATGTGCTATGACCATTTTCTGCATTCATTTGGATTAAACAATCATTGTAGCTATTTTTTAGAGTAGTTTAGTGATTCTGCTAGAGTTGCAACAACAATAGAATTTCATATATTGATAACATGTGTTCACTCTCGAAAATTTTCTTACAAGTGCTGATGGTTCTTCTATTCAACATTCACAGTCAAGTTGTAGGGCCACGCTGTCCTCTGAAAAAGGATCCGGAATTGGATTATGAAGTTGATAGTGATGAAGAATGGGAAGAGGTAGTTTTTATTGATTTGAACACTCCTTTAGGAAATTATATATGCTGTTACAACGTAAAAACTCGACAAGAGATCACTGGTTAATAAGGTACTTTTTACTTTACAGGAACAAGCCGGTGAAAGCCTTTCAGATTGTGAGAACGATGAAGAGGAATCTTTGGAAGAAGGATGCTCAAAGGCTGACGAGGAAGATGATAGTGAAGATGACTTTATGGTACCTGATGGGTATCTCTCAGAAGATGAGGTATCAAAAGCATTTTTAACTATCTCTTCATAAATTCTTCTAAATCCAAAGTTGACACACTCTAGTAAATCTAAAAACAGCTAACTATGCATTTTGTCCATCTTTGTGAAAAGGGTTAGCTACGCTTATTATAAAAAATGGTTTTGCTTAGGTGGAAAAAAGTTTCTTGATGTAAACTCTTGTGATTGTTTCCTGTAGGGGGTCCAAGTGGACAGAATGGACATTGATCCGTCTGAACAGGATGCAAGTTCATCTCCATCGCAAAAGGATCAAGAGAGTCAAGAGTTTCGCGCACTACTACATCAACAAAAACAAGTGCAAAGTTTGACTGATCATGCTCTTGCGAAAACGCAGCCACTGATTATATGCAACCTAACGCATGAGAAGGTCTCTCTTTTAGCTGCTAAAGATCTTGAAGGGACACAGAAAATGGAACAGATATGTCTGCGAGCTCTTGTGGTGCGAGCATTCCCTTACTCTACTTCACTCATTGAGATATCGATCGACATACAAGATGAGGATCAAGAAACAGGCAAGTCATCTTGTAGTCAGAGCACTCCTCCATCAGCTTCAAAAGCAAAATCCATACCAGACTCAGATTTACCAACAGTTGTGAGTAGATTTTTCTCCAAACAAATAACCTTTTTTCACATTATATATTTTAGATGATTTAACAAGAAACTGGCGGGGCGTGACAGGTATCAACAATACAATCATGCACTCAAGGAATCAGTAAAGTGGTTGAGACATTGCAGCAGAAGTTCCCAGATGTTCCAAAGACCAAACTAAGACAGAAAGTGCGTGAGATATCAGATTTCGAGGATAACCGTTGGCAGGTTAGTTTACTTTTGATCTTTCTCATAACGAACAGTTGTGTTTAGCTTAAGACAGAATTGCTTATCTTCTTTTGCTGTAATGAATATAGGTAAAAAAGGAAGTGTTGTCGAAGCTTGGGTTATCACCATCACCAGATAAAAGCGCTAAGAGGCCGAAAATGATATCGACATTCTTCTCAAAACGCTGTTTGCCTCCGTCCACGAAGCCACCACCCGCTGTTGAAGAAACAGAGAGATTGGGAAATGAGAATGATGCTTGAAGTCTCGTTGCCGTTTCCATCTTTTTTTTTGTTACATCCCTCAAAAACTGTTTTAGGCATCTTGTGGATACAAGATTGTATGATGCATAATATCGGGAAAAAGTGTTTTAGATGAGGGGAATGATAAGTCAGTTAAGTAACCTGAGATATGTTTAGTTCAGGTTAAAAGTCTATGCACAGCCTTCAAAAGCTACAAAATTTTATGTATGCCATTTACAATAATCCTTTGTGCTTTAATCACAATGTTTTATAGTCTAAACAAACAGACTACATAGGCAGGTGTAGAGTAGTCTTTCATCACAATGTTTTATAGTCTAAACAAACATCTTACAAGTGGGCTTTAATCGGAAATGAAATATTTAAATGTGCTTATAATTTTTTGTTCAATGACTTGTGATCTTATTGAGTTAATTATTATTTTGTATCATTTAAAAATGTAAATATAATTTATATTTTATTAATTAAATAATTGATAATTTTATATGTTTTAACAAAAAAAACTAGAGAAATTTGCGTGTATACCAAAGAACTTTGTAGTAATTGGCGAAATACCAAAGGTCACCGAAAAGCAACTGTTCACTCCATCGTTTTTACCTTCCTACCCTTTCTGATCGAACATCTCTCCTGCCCGTTCACCCTCACTATAAACCCGTATCTTTGAAAGATACGCAAGATTCAGTCTCCCTTTCTTGTCAGTAATTAAGTCTTAGTCTCTCCTTTTTCAAACCTCTCTTTTCTCTTTTCATGCATTTCTGAGATCAACGATAATTATGGAGGAAACAGAAGAAATCGAACGACTCAGATCTGCCCTTCCGACCAGGATTTTCGCCGCTGGTCATGAACCCGCCGGCGTTAGGGTGACTCCTTACCACAAAGCCAACGCCATCAGACAGATTCTCAACGCATTACAGCCGGAAGAAGTTGATTTGATTAGGGTTTCGCCTTTTGGTAAATTGGTTGAAATAGCCGAGAAACCCATTTTCTCTGGGAGATTTGGCAGATATATCATTTCCCGACAACTTAAAGTGTCCAAGAAGCATGAAGCGTGGTTCAATTTCGCCGGTAAACCGATAAGGTTTTCGATTAGAGAATTCGCTTTGGTTACTGGGTTAAACTGCAAGAAATTCCCCAAACGAGTCAAGAAAAGATCCGCGAAGAACATCATATCAACGACGCCCTACTGGATTGAGCTCTTTGGTTCACTAAAAGAAATCCCAGTCTCATCCGTCATAAGAATGCTCCAGAAGAAAACCGTCGTTGACAAGGAAGTCCGACTAAAGTATGCATACCTAGCCTTAATCGCAGCCGTCCTAATCCCCACGACTCATTCCCCACGGATCTCTGATTCAGTTGCAGAGCAGATTAGAGACTTGGAAGATTTTTTCGCTTATCCTTGGGGCAGGGTTTCGTTTGAGTTACTTATAACCAGCATAAAGGAGAGAAAGGAGCTTTCCTTGACACAAAACACTATTGCTCTCAAGGGATTTGTTCTTGCCATACAACTTGTGATGATTGAATGTGTTCCGGCCATTATTGAGGGGGTGGAAGACGGTGGTTCCTCTGGATCTGACGCCGACGATGATAGAACTGACGGTGACAAAGCTGAGAAAAAAAGCATCAATCCCGGCCACGCAAGAGACCTAGATGCTGCTGGACAGGTAACTAAGTGTATGTTTTTTACTTTCATTATTATTTAGGATTACGATCATAGCTTCTTTGCTTAGCCGGCTAATATCATTCATTATACACATGGAAACGATTAGAGTCTGTGAGATTTACTTAGCCGGGTAACTAATTGATATACATAAATATGTTATCCTGTTAACTTTGTTTGTTCCAAGGATCCACCTTTCTACACTACGAATTGGCTATTTTTAAACCGGCTAACCAAGTTGCATACATCATTAAGTTAACTGCCTTACAACCTTCCATTGTTGTCGTTAATTCTGTTTGTCCTAACTACCCTTTAGCTGGCTAATATATTCTATAAACACACATAGGTTAGAAACATATATTTGTGTTCTTACTCCCCCTCGTACTAACTTACACACATCAGATGCCTCCTTTTTTTAAATTTAATTGTTTCTTTGTAAGTTTCTCGTATTCTGAATTTGATGTCTTATAAACTGGCAGGCTTTAGTTAGGTCCATCATGCCTGATGACAACGGTGGGACGGAGCTTGATCCAGAGTATCAGTGGTCGGACGATGAAGAAGATGTCGGAGTGTCTAATATGCTCAAGCTCATAGAACAGAACTACCAGTTCACAGCTGATTCATTTGCTGGTGGGATAACTACAGATGATGTTAATAGAATGCGTGAAGAATCAAAAGTCGAAAATGTTAATCGCAAGTCTTCGAAATCCAAGCCCAGTACCTCCTCTCAGCCGCTTGATGCTCTAGACATTGATTCGTTGGCCACTCTTGTCAGGCTCAAACTTAGGGATGATTTCCAGCTCGTCCATGCCAACATTTCATCGATGCAGGATTCAATCAATGGTTATGCCTCTACAGCGCTCACAAATTTTGGTGAGCTCTTTTCTTTGGTTGATGACTGTCTCGCTAGAGTGACAACAATGACGGCTGAGCTGAGGAATCTAGCCCAGCAAGACCACATTCCCCCTTCAAGGAGGAACAGTGATCGGTCAACCGTGGCGGAAGCTGGTACTCAAACCATAGACGACCCTAACAATATAATCTCAGATGCACTAAAATTCGTTAACCGGACAACTGATCCAGTAGGCGAGGTTTGTAGATTATTCTCACGGTTAATTCATTTTAATAAGGAAATTAGACATTGTTTTTTGATATAAACCATTTCCTTTATTCATAATTCAGGCTGATAAAGACGGTGTGCACCTAACATCGGAGGATAGTCCCCCTGAAGGCAATAATTGCGCACCTCCTGCTGTTCATTCACATTGTCAGACAGAGACCGAGAAGGTTTGCATGTTTTATTCAAATTATAGCATACTTCGTTAACCGTTCAGTTGACTTAGTTCCACTAATGTCTTCATACCTTCACGTCTAATTATAGTTGTAGACCTTTAATATTCATATTTTCTGGTTAACCCCATAGGCTAAACGCGATCTTAAAGATGGGAATAGCAGAACCGCAGCTACGCCGGCTTCTGCTAATGCCGCAGATGACGGACCTCAGTCTCTACACGGACCGCCACAGGGAAAACCCGATGAGGTTTGTACGTTAACCTCATTTCCTTTATTTCCAAAAATATTATCTTATTATAATTTTGGTATCCACTGTCCAGATTCTTGATCCTGGTCTTATATTCCCCGACCCCACCTTCTCGCTTGGTCTGACTCAGGAGGCACGCATGGAGAAAGCAGCAGAAATCGAAGTTAACGAGGTAACTGAGCAACAGACCGGTCAACAAGAACACCTTCAAACCACAGCCGTGGTGGAGGAAAACATCTGTAGGAGAGGCAAGAGACAGAAGGTGCCAACCAAGTCGCTCATGGGGGAGTATGAGTGTGATAGAGCCTTTATCAACCGTGCTAGGGCGGCTGTCTCAGACGCGATCTACAACGGATGCAACATAGATTACGCGGCCAAGTTCTCATCTCTCATGGATAAGATGAAGACTTCATTGTAAGTTACAAATTTCATTTTTACAGGCTTTCAATGCATTTTTATTTGTTGGTTTTTTGTAGCCGGTTAACATTTAACATTTGATTTTAAAACACAGTTCTATCGAAACTGATATGGGTATAGTCGAGAGTACAGAGCTCTACGAGATCGTGCAGAGATCATCTCAGTTATCGAAGAAGGTTTGTTTTTCACACCTAATTTGTCAAATAATTATTAGATTCACTCACTTTCCCTAGTTCTCGACTTTTAAATATTTGTCTCCCTCTCAATAGGTCGTGGATATCCTTATGTTCCACACTCGGTCACTCTTCAGATCAAAATCAGCTCAACCGCAGCAGCCTACTGCGGCCTTCATGGACACGCAATTCGTATCACAGTTCACTAAATTGTACACGAGGTTTTCAAAAACTTCTAAAAAAGAGAACTTCAATTTCAGTGCAACTGTGGTTGACTTGGTCCAGCGAACACCGGCTTCTGCTGCTGCTGATCGTTTCTATTTTCCTTTTAACCTCGACAAAAAATATTGGGTTGGTATCTGTGTGGATTTGGCAGGGTGGACTGTAACTGTATTGGACTGCAATACTAGCCTCCGCACAGACTTTATGATGACCAAAGAGGTTAGACCAATCGCTCAGATGTTCCCACATCTCATGAAGCAGGTCGGTAGGGAATTTGGTGTTAGGGATATCAAGGCACTGTCTATTGAAAGGCCACGGAGCATACCCCAGCAAAACGTAATAACGAACTCTGCCGTCTCTACAGTCCTCTTCATTCAAGCTCATGCAGTCGGTGGTATCGATGCGTGCAGATGCATCACACCAGATGTCCTTGATAGCCAAGTCGAGCGTTTTGTTGTATCTATATATGAATCTGCCGTTGGTCCCCTCTGATAGCTGTTTCATATTTCTACTTAAAACTTTTTCTCTATGTTATTTTTCGGAACTCAAATGTTGCTCTTGATTTGGAACACAAACTTAATTCTAAGGTCTATCAATTAATGTTACCCATCCAACTAATTTTTTGGCTTGCAAGTTTACATTTTTAACCGGCTAACATATACCTTATACATTTTCGATCACGAAATAACCACGTGGGACACTTATGCAACCAACATGAACTGTACAATTAGGGCATCTTCACCCATATAAAAGGAAACACCTTATTCCAATCAAAAAGATGTTGCCGTTCTATTTTTCCTCTTCTCCCCCCCTGCGGCCAGGTAAAGCTCATTTGTTTATAACCTACCACTCTTTGGATTCGAATCTGTTTTTCATTTTCCTGCAGAGAATGGAGTTGGCTGTCGATCTTGGACTTGGAATACCTAGGAAATGTCAGTGTGGAGCTTTGACTGTCCTACTCACTTCGAAGACAAAAGATAATCCAGGTAGAAGATTCTACAGATGCGGAGTAGTTTTCGGTGAGAATCACTTGTTCAAGTGGGCTGACGATGCTCAAGTAGAAGAGATAGAGGGATTAATTCTGAAGCAGACCATTCTGGCTAATGATATAACGGAAATCAAAGAACAGCTTCTTGAGTTGAAGAAGGATATTACGGAGATTGTCGAAGTGGTGGGGTCTCTGTCGAGGAAGCCTTGACCTTTATCCCACTCATTTGTTCTGTTCTTAACCATTAAACTTGAC